TGTGCAAAAGAGTACAACTGTATAAAGGAATGGATTATTCATAATAATGACATTTTACCAAACTTCTAGAGTTCAGAACTTCCAAATATTGGAATAGATTACAGATGAACATGGTATTTTTTTAAACTATAATAAAAAGAATAAACTACCCCCAATCCTTCAACCCTGTTATCAGAAGAAATCCTATGTCTTACTTATTCCTTTCATATCTGAGCTCCTTTATAAAATTTCTTTGTAAAATATTCCACTTAATGGTAATCATATATTTATATTCAGGTCTTTTTCCATATACGCATTGGTTTATGTTTTTATCAACTCTCCAGATTATAATTTTCATGTCTATACAGTGTTTCATCTAGTTAATTTTCCTATTACCCCATTTAAGTGTTTACACCATTTGGTGGGGGGAGTGTACAACATGCTGCAGAAAGAAACTCAGGACATTTTCTTTTCATTTCTCCTTACTGCACAGAAGTTTCACATTTACAGTCCATTTTGTGCAATCTCCTACTTCAGTTATAAAGTTCAGATTTCTCTACACAGCTGAAAATATATTATTATTCAGCAGGGTTTCTAACATTTCAATTTTTGACTTAAACTCTTAAATCTACTTGAATTCATTCTAACCAGTCATAAACTTTGATATTTAAAAGAAACATATTCAAATAAAGAAATTGGCTACATGACATCAGTTCAGTTCAGTCACTCAGTCGTGTCTGACTCTTTGTGACCCCATGGGCTGCAGCACACCAGGTCTCCCTGTCCATCACCAAATCCTGGAGCTTACTCAAACTCATGTCCATCAAGTCAGTGATGCCATCCTACCATCTCATCCTCTGTCGTCCCCTCCTCCCTCCACCTTCAATCTTTCCAGCATCAGGGTCTTTTCCAATGAATCAGTTCTTTGCATCAGGTGGCCAAATTATTGGAGTTTCAGCTTCAACATCAGCCCTTCCAATGAATATTCAGGGCTGATTTCCTTTAGGATGGGCTGGTTGGATCTCCTTGCAGTCCAAGGGACTCTCAAGAGTCTTCTCCAACACCTCAGTTCAAAAGCATCAGTTCTTCAGCACTCAGCTTTCTTTATAGTCCAACTTTCACATCCATACATGACTACTGGAAAAACCATAGCTTTGACTAGATGGACCTTTTTTGACAAAGTAATGTCGCTGCTTTTTAATATGCTGTCTAGGTTGGTCATAACTTTTCTTCCAGGTAGCAAGTGTCTTAATTTCATGGCTGCAATCACCATCTGCAGTGATTTTGGAGCCCAAGAAAATAAAGTCAGCCACTGTTTCCATTGTTTCCCCTTCTGTTTGCTGAAGTGATGGGACCAGAAGCCATGGTCTTAGTTTTCTGAATGTTGAGCTTTAAGCCAACTTTTTCACTCTCCTCTTTCACTTTCATCAGGAGGCTCTTTAGTTCTTTCGCTTTCTGCCATAAGGGTGGTGTCATCTGCATATCTGAGGTTATTGATATTTCTCCCAGCAGTCTTGATTCCAGCTTGTGCTTCATCCAGCCCAGCATTTCTCATGATGTACTCTGCATATAAGTTAAATAAGCAGAGTGACAATATACAGCCTTGACGTACTCCTTTCCCAATTTGGAACCAGTCTGTTGTTCCATGTCTGGTTTTAACTGTTGCTTCTTGACCTGCATACAGGTTTCTTGGGAGGCAGGTCAGGTGGTCTGGTACTCCCATCTCTAAGAATTTTCCACAGTTTGTTATGATCCACACAGTCAAAGTCTTTGGCATAGTCAATAAAGCAGAAGTAGATGTTTTTCTGGAACTCTCTTTGCTTTTTTGATGATCCAGTGAATGTTGGCAGTTTGATATCTGGTTCTGCCTTTTCTAAATCAGGCTTGAACATCTGGAAGTTCACAGTTCACATATAAGCATCTATTCTGTGCCTAAAATTATTGGAATATCCACAGTGAATATTTTAACATCTGGCAGGCCTCTCTATTCAGACACTCTCTATTTACTTAAAAGTTAAGTGTCTCCAATGTTTAGCTTTAGGAGTATAAATATCCTCACCTGCCACAAAGTCAAAGCTGATCAAATTTCATTGGCCAACAAGGCATTTTAGGCTCAGCCTTAGTAACCCCTTCTTCCCTTCATACCTTCAGGCCCCAAGGATGGTAAAGTCTCTGCCATTGTTGTGTCCAGGTTCTCACAGCTCCTCCACACCCATCCTTAACTTTGCAGTTATTTATAGTTAATCCATTGGTGATAAATCTCCCTAAATTATCCTAACTTGAATGTGCTGTTTTCTGTTGGAATCCAGACTAATGCACACACAGTTTTTTGTTTTTTTGTTTTTTAATTTGGGTGTATCCACACTCTGAAATACTATTCAGATGATAAAAAGAGTCAAGTAGACCCATACATAATGATGGAATTCTCTCCAAGACAGCATAGAATTAAGTAAAAAGAGGACAATATAGGAAATTTTATGGACTATAGTACCATTTATGTAAAACAGAGATAAATATACATACATACATATATATATATATATATATATATATATATATATATACACACACACACACCAGGGCTTCCCTGGTGCCTCAGACAGTAAAGATTTCACGTGCAATATGGAAGACCTGGGTTCGATCCCTGGGTTGGGAAGATCCCGTGGAGGAGGGCACAGCAAACCGCTCCCATATTCTTGCCTGGAGAATCCCCATGGACAGAGAAGCCTGGCAAGCTATAGTCCATGGGGTCATGAATGAGTGACTAAGCATGCAGCATGTATCTGTGTATGTATATATCAGTATATGTGTAGACAAAGAGGAGAAGAAGATGCATAGCAAATGATTTTTTTTTCTGCGAAAGGGAGTGAAAATTGGAGTAGGATTGAGAATAGGGAAGTTTCATATTTTGCTTTATTTTTCTTGTGATGTTTGAACTTTTACAAGAGAATGTATTCTTTGTCATTTTTTTAAAACCCACAGTATATAATGGATTTGGAGAAAAGGCTATTATTACTCTAGGGCACTTTATCAGTCAGAGTCAAAAACAGGAAACAGGAACCAAATTAGACAGAAAGAAAACTTTAATACAAGGAATTAAATGCTCATAAAATCATCAGAAGGCTGGATGAATGGGCTCCAGACTGGAGCCCCAAGAATGACTCAAGAGCACCACAGACCCATTTGAGGGGATCCTAAATTTGCCATAATGAGATATGAGAAGAGATGAGAGGCCACTACTGGGAGAAAAAAAAAAAAAAACCCAGCAACAACAGAGAAATAGCAGTTGGGGAGTCAGAACCAGAATCTGGAAGCTGATGCTGGGGCACTGGATCCCTTAGTATAGCTGCTGCTACCTCCAGCACAAAAACACTCATGATCTTGCTTTCCAGCAGGAACATCCAAGACAAAAAGAAAGTAGCTCTGTTTCACTTCTGCCTTCCCAGTCTTACCTGTATGCGTCTCATTGGTGAAACCAATTTGCATCCAGAACTTTAGCTGCAAGGGAACCCGAGGAATCTCTCCCTTTTCCCTCTTCCAGGCTCTGCAGGAAGGTGGAATGGAAGTGAGCTGACTACACCGTTACTCTAGGTGGGGAAGAATCCAAGATATTTTCAAATACACAAAAACAGAAAGTTGACCACCCCGAGTCTCTACTAAAGGATGTCTGGTAATAAGAAAAAAGTAAATCACAACCAAAAGTGGTTTTTAAGAAGTGATTTAAAGCTTTTAAGTCTTAAGTGAGTTCCACGGTCCCATTTGATCTGGGCCTTGAGGACTGAAAGCAAGGGCCAGCAACCTTTTCTGTAGAGGTTAAAGATAGTCAATATTTTCAGGTTTATAGGCTATGTGGTCTATATATATATCAGCTTTGATGTTGTAGCACAAAAGCAGGCAATGGCAATATGCAAATAAATGGGCAAACGTGTTCCACTAAAATTTTATTTATGAGACCATGTGGAGTCCTGGATTTGGAGTATAGAGTGAAGATTGCTGACTCTGGGCTAAGAGAATCACCAGGCATAGATTCCCAAAAAGAGCATTTTTGAAAAAAGGGAGATTATAAATTTGTTGAGAAATTGCATGGTGTAATCATGAGAAGGCAAGTACTCTGTGAGGCTAGCTTTCAGTTTATACAGTGGAAGTGGCAACCCATGAGCCTTCAAAAGGAAGCTGAGCCCAGAGGGAAAAGACCCTTGTATTATAGCTTAATGAGTTGCTGTATTTTGGCAGTTTGTCTAAGAATGGGTTGAAAAGCCTGAGGCAAGTTTAACAACAATGTCAGTGCTGGGTTTACCAGAACTAGGGTGGTGGTTTGGGGAGAAAAAGGAAAGATAAATTCAGGAGACAATTTAGAGTTAAGATCAAGAGAATAGGTGACTCGATGGTATCAGGTTGTATGGGAGGAAGAAGAGCAGAAGGAGTGTTTGTTGAGGACAGAGGATGGTCCTTTGTGGACGGTAGGGAATAGAGAGGGAAGGAAGTGTTCATAAGAGACACCTGTCAGCCTAGCAAGGAACCCACAACTGTGCCAGGTCTTCTGGCTACTCCTCAATACAAAAATGACAATTTCTATAACCCTATCCATTTCCTCTCAGACTTGGGAGACTCTGAAAACTTCATGAATAGAACCTGACTCTGGAATCAGATGTCCATATCTGTCAAATCCATTTCACTGCCTGACTGCTACCAGGGAACATCCATATATCTTAAACTTGAAAAGTACAAGTCAGTTTCCCCAGAGTTCCTGGGCAGCCCCATCTTCCTGCCAGGCATGGGGTTGCTGCCAATCAAAACCAGCATCTTTTTTTTAATCTGAAAAGTACTCTAAAATACCAAAGGCCTTCATGTTTATTTTCCAAGAGTTTTCCCCCAATTTCCCCATCTTGATGAACCACTGAAGAAAGAACTCCCACTTAGGGCACATTCCATGGACATACAAGTGGAGAGAATCCCTTCAACAGAGCTCTGCCCCTGCTGTCCACCTAATCAGTTCATGTCATGCTGCTTCCTGCCTGTCCATGGGAGCAGCCCCCAGTGACAGCTTCATTTGTTGTTGCCTCCACTTGGCCATGCTCCGGACACCTCACACCACCGTGGAAGAGCGGTTTCATCTGAAACAGGTTGGTGGGAATGCTTGAGATACGATGTTAATGCAAACAAATCAATATGCCATTAAGTACCTTTAAAGAATAAGCACAGCTGTCTGGAAAAAAAGAACATCTCAGGAGCTGATATTTACAGGCTACTTCTCCATCCATTACCGTACACCCGTTATACCACCACCATTATCTCCACCACTGTCAAAGATGCTTCCAGAACATCTGGAACAGAAGCAGAGAAGAGTTGTTTTTCGCTGTTCCCATTTTCCGTTTTCCTGCAAATGCTTCCCATTGTCAGAACCTAACAGGAAGACAACTGGCAGAGTATTTTGGGAAATCTAGTTTTGATACATAACACAGACTTTAGACTCTGGTTCTGCCATTGATCTTTACTTGACTTTGACAACACCCAGCCCTTGACTTCTGTCCTTAAGATTCTAGGCAGTAGTGCCAGGATGATGCTTAGCTCTCTTTCTCAGCCCTTTTGTTTGGTTCTTGCTTTTGCTAAAAGACACTGCTAGGGTGTGATTTAATCTTAACATTAAGCTAATGGGAAATTTTTATTCTTTTGAAGGCAATGTCTGTGCAATACCGAAGCGTCATGTTTGCTACTGTGGATGTGGACAATGCTCGGGTAAGAATCTTAAATCCCTCCTTGTAGATTCATAAAACCCAGTGTGATGTTGAGATGCTGTCTCAGTGATTATACAAGCAATTTAAAGTGTAATGAACTGTAGTAAATGCCCTCAGAGGTTCTTGTATGTTTTGTATTCTTTTAAAGACAATAAATATGGGACTCTCCTATGTGCCCCCCCCCCCATACTATGGTAGAATTCACTGATCAGTCCAGTGTTGTTCATCAATGGCTCTTGACTCTGCCCCAACAGAGTTGCTTTAGACAGACAATACCAGTTGGTTAGGGTTGGGCTCAAAGTGAAAAGTTATTTTTGCTCCTGTTGTTGTTGTTCTTCAGTTGCTAAGCTGTGTCTGACTCTTTGTGACCCTATGGACTGCAGCATACCAGACTCCTCTATCCTTCACTATCTCCTGGAGTTTGCTCAAATTCATGTCCATTGAGTTGATGAGGCTATCTAACCATCTCATGCTCTGCTGCCCTCTTCTCCTTTGCCTTCAATCTTTCTGAGCATCAGGGTATTTTCCAATGAATCTGCTCTTTGCATTAGGTGGCCAAAGTATTAGAGCTTCAGCATCAGCCTTTCTGATGAATATTGGAAGGGTTGATTTCTTTTAGGATTGACTGGTTTGATCTCCCTGCTATACAAGAGACTCTCAAGAGTCTTCTCTACCCCCACAATTTGAAAGCATCCATTCTTCAGTGTTCAGCCTTCCTTATGGAAACCATGTGTGGTTAGTTGCTCAGTCATGTCTGACTCTTTGCGGCTCCATGGACTGTAGCCTACTAGGCTCCTCTGTCCATGGAGATTCTCAAGGCAAGAATTCTGGAGTAGGTTGCCATGCCCTCCTCCAGGCAATCTTTCCAAGCCAGGGATTGAACCCAGGTCTCCTGCACTGCAGGCAGATTCTCTACCATCTGATCCGCCAGGGAAGCCCAAGAATACTGGAGTGGGTAGCCTATCACTTCTCTAGGGGAAACTTCCTGACCCAGGAATCGAACCACGGTCTCCTGCATTGCAGGAGGATTCTTTACAAGCTGAGCTACCCGGGAAGCCCAGGGCTTTGTCAGTAAAGTGATGCTTCTCTTTTTAATATGCTGTCTAGGTTTGTCATAGCTTTCCTTCCAAGGAGGAAGCATCTTTTAATTTTACCCCTGTGATAGATTATTAATAAATTTCTAAAATCCAATTCTGTTCATTGCAGACATTTTTATGTACTTTTCTTTCCCCTTTCTATAGCTTATGCTTTTTGTGGAGTTTTGTTTGTGTGTGTGTGTGGAGTTTTTTAAGAGTCACAGGGAATTCCAGGAAACCTTTCCCTTTTTTCTCTAGAGTCTTTATTCCTCACCCCAACACCGCCCCCGCAAATAATCAGCCTCATGTTTTCAATCAACATGTGCTTATTAATACATACAAGGTGTCTAAAAATTTATTCTTCCTAGTACTTGTTCTTTTAAAAGTCCAAGGGAAAAGAGCAGTAATAAGTGACCTGTGCATACATTGGATTGAATTTGAGCTTTATAATTAAAAAATCAATTATTTACCCATTCTGCCCTCTGCCTAGTTTTTTATCTGTTAACCTGTATAAATGTCAATTCCTCTATATGTAAAACAAAGTAATAATATTTAACAGAATATGAAAAAATAGAAGACACAAAATATATGGCATTATACCCAGAATGTAATAAAAGTTTCATTTTTCTATTTCCCTCAAAGTGTGACAGTGTTTAATTGTCCTTTAAGCTGAATCATGTACCGTGCACTCAGAATAAACAGCTAGGATTATTGCCTGTCAGATATTCAAAGATTTGTGCAGCTATCAGTACAATCAATTTTAGAAGGTATTTGCAACTCCAAAAAGAAATACTGTCCCCTAGTAGTCATCCCCCCTAGTTCCCTCTATCCACCACCTCAACCCTAGATAACTGCTAGCCTAGCTTGTCTGTAGACTTGCTTATTCTGGTCATTTCATATAAATGGAATTATAGAAAACATGGTCTTTTGTGACTGGCTTCTTTCACTTAACATAAAAGTTTGCAAGATTCATCTGTGATGTAGCATGTATCAGTCCCCCATTCCCTTTTATTGCTTAATAATTTACTACCTCTTTTTTTATCCATTCATTCTTTGATGGTCATTCGGTTTGTTTCCAACTTCTGGGTATTATGACTAATACTGAAATAAACATTTAAGCATATATTTTCATTTCTCTTGGCTATATATCTAGGGTAGTGGGGTTATTGGCTCATATGATAACTCTATATCTAACTTACTGAGGAACCAACAAATTATCATACAGAGTGCTGCACCACTTTACATTCCCGCCAGCAATGTAAGAGGTTTCTTATTTCTCCATATCCTCAGCAGCATTAGTTACTGTTTTACTCTTTGATTTTTATAGCTCTTTGTCTCTTAAGGTGAAACAAAATGCACAGTTTTCTTTTCTAGTAATGCATTTATTGTTGTCATTACTGGAGTCATGAAAATTATAATTTAGTGTGTGTTGGGAGTAGGGGTGGGCAGCAGGGAAAAGATTTGTTTTGATCCTGTGGGCAACCATGAAATTAAAAGACGCTTGCTCCTTGGAAGAAAATTTATGACCAACCTCGACAGTATATTAAAAAGCAGAGACGTTACTTTGCTAACAAAGGTCCATCTAGTCAAAGCCATGGTTTTTCCAGTAGTCATTTATAGATGTGAAAGTTGGACTATAAAGAAAGCTGCTGCTACTGCTGCTAAGTCACTTCAGTCGTGTCCGATTCTGTGCGACCCCATAGACGGCAGCCCACCAAGCTCCTCTGTCCCTGGGATTCTCCTGGAAAGAATACTGGAGTGGGTAAAGAAAGCTGAGTGCCAAAGAATTGATGCTTTTGAACTGTGGTGTTGGAGAAGACTCTAGAGAGTCCCTTGGACTGCAAACAGATCCAACCAGTCCATCCTAAAGGAAATCAGTCCTGAATAGTCATTGGAAGGACTGATGCTGAAACTGAAACTCCAATACTTTGGCCACATGATGGGAAGAACTGATGCACTGGAAAAGACCCTGATGCTGGGAAAGATTGAAGGCAGGAGGAAAAGGGGATGACAGAGGATGAGATGGTTGGATGGCATCACCAACTCAGTGGACATGAGTTTGAGTAAAACTCTGGGAGTTGGCAATGGACAGGGAGACCTGCTGTGCTGCGGTCCATGGGGTCTCAAAGAGTTGGACATGACTGAGAGACTGAACTGAACTGTGGGTGGCTAATTTTCACTTGACTCTTAAACAAGATAAACAAAAATGTGATACTTGAAATCAGATTGTAATGGATTAGAACAGTTGGGATTCTGATATATTGTCTTATCTCATGGCTACAAAATCTTTTACAGAAATGGGCAGTGAAAAGGTGTAAGGCATATAAGAAAGAAACACATAAGCCTTACTTAAAATGCATGATATACCACTCCATGTCTAAGTGTGAGTTGTAAAGAGACCTTTACTCATTCTTATTTTTTTTGCAGTATGCTGTTTCCATATTGGGTTCTGCTGGGGCCTTCTACAGTCTTTCACAAGCTCTTTTAAATAGAGCTCATTTCGTCCTTCAGTCCATGCTGAAAACAGTCACTTTATGTTTTAACATTCCTGGAGGCTTTGAGGATATGTTAGGAAAGTTCTTGGCAAGAGAATCTGTAAAGTATCAGCTATCCCTGGGCTCTCAGACATGCCTCCTGAGACATCACCAAGTACCATTCTTGGTCCAAAAAGAGGATACAGAAATAATTGCTTCATTCCACTTCTTTTCTAGGAGTTGGCCCAAACTTACCATATCAAAGCAGTACCCACATTTCAGATGTTCAAGCAAACCAAGAAGGTATGTTTCTATTTTAACTGGCAGGTTGAAATAGATTATAAAACCATCAGAGTCTACAAAAGGCCTGAGGCATCCTGGATGGATGAAACAACTGTACTTATTTTTATAGCAATGCAGTTCTTACTTTCTGAACTTACAAGGAGTTAAAAAAAAAAAAGGGTGAACTGTGAGAAATCTCCCATTCAGACCATTTGAAGTGTCCAAATCTATATGAAATACCCCACTCTTATTTCTCTCTGGGGACATGACCATTAAAAAATAATCTTACAAGAAAAGACATGATGAAATTCTTGCACAAATGTATATGCATTTTTAAGAACACTTGAGTGAATGTCAGTCAAAAGCAGTCACAAGGTAATATGGCCTACTGGTAGACCAGGCAGGGCCTGGTCAGATTTCTGTGGTTCAAAAGTTAGTTCTTCCATTTCCTAGCAGTTTACTTAATATGCTCTTGGTATCTTAGTTTCCCTATCTGTAAAAACATCAATCATAACAAGTTTCCCCTTCCCTTGTCGGATTGTTTTGAAAATGAAATCAATTAACACAACTAAACTTTTAGACCCATCCTGACACACAAATATGTTATGTTAGTTGTTATCTTGAAGATATTAATAGAATGAAGTGTCTCAAATACTTTGTGTGATGAAACTAGTAATAATGTATATGACTGGGAGCACGGACACCTGTGTGAACCTTATGAAAGGTGATTTTGCAACACACTTAAGAGGAATAAACTATTCATTCCCTTTCACACACTACCCCGTTTTGGGGAACTTTTGCTGATGAAAATTCCTCATGGAAAAATAAACATCTAAGTGCCTGGTAATTGTAGCATTATTTCTAACAAAATATGGAAGCAGTGTAAATGACTTTTTTTTAGTAAAGTGGCTAAGTAATTTATGATACATCTTGTCTATGTGTGTGCTAAGTTGCTTCAGTCATGTCTGATTCTTTGCGGCCCTGTGGAGTGTAGTCTGCCAGGCTCCTCTGTCCATGGGATTCTCCAGGCAAGAAACTGGAGTGGGTCGCCATGCCCTTCTCCAGGAGATCTTCCTGACCCAGGGATCAAACACACATCTCTAACGTCTCCTGCATTGGCAGGCGGGTTCTTCACCACCACCACCACCTGGGAAGCCCATCTAGTCTATGGAAGAGTATACAATTAAAAAGAGTTATGAACAGAAGAGACTCACAGATATAGAACACAAATTAGTGGTTACGGGCAGGAGTGCAAATAGGGGTAGAGGAGTGGGAGGTACAAACTATTGGGTGTGACGGGCTCAAGGATGTATTGTACAACATGGGGAATATGGCCAGTTTTTTGTAATAACTATAAATGGAAAGTAACCTTTCAAAATTATAAAAATGTTTTAGAATTTTTTAAATGAGTTAAAAAGATTCAATAAAATAAAAAGTCATGAGGAATATACATAAAGTAAAAAAAAATTCATACTTTACTTTTTTAAAGATCATGTCTACAGTATAAAGAATCAGAGAATTTGAGATGCTAGCTGTAGAATTTTATTTTCAATTTCTGCTTGTTCATATGTGCTTGCTGTAACATAATTGAGGCAATAGATTTAAGTAATTCTTCCCCCAAAAGATAACACTACCTGTTTCCTCTCTTGAGTTTTTACTTGAAAACTGAAATAGTTTAACACATGCCTTCTCAACTCCGCGTACCTACATTATCAAATTGTGTGTGCATCTTTTATTCTCTTTTCTCTTCCATCTCAGAAATGAAGATGCTTCCTCCTTTGAAGTCAGTTCCATCTGTCTCTTGACCGCATCCCTCCCGTCTGTGTTATCCTATTTCAAACCTGGTCATTGTACTCTTACTGTTTTTTGGTACCCAGCTACCATTCTCCATTCCCTTTTAGCAGTTCTCTGATTTTCCTCCAGGAAACCACGCCCTTTCTGGTCCTTAGTCCATGTACTTCCTTAGGGGTCCATCTCCAGGTGTAGACCGATCAGTGAACTCCATCACCATCAGGAATGGGCCCTTCACTCCAGTCAAGCCAAGCCAATCCAAACCCAACCAGAGCTAATTCCAGGATTTTGCTTAAGCAGCTCGGTAAATGTCTCTTACTTTGATTGCACTGAATTTGAACTTGGAAAGATATAGTGCTAAAGCTCTTTTAGCTGGCTTGCCACCACAGGGAACCTAAAAATGAAGCTACCATAGAGAGGAAAGCAGAATCAGGCCAAGAAGTGCTCATGGCATTGATGGAACCCTGAATCTATGTATGTCTGAAGCCTGAACTACCCCCATAAATTCTTCAGTTACATAAACTTTGGGTTGCTTTTTCTGTCATTTGCAACCAAAACATTTCTAATGAATATATCTGTTCTCTCAGACTATTCTCTTTTATTCATAATCTAACTCTTAAAAGAATTAGATGTATTCACTGCTTCCAATTCTCATTTTCCACTCATTCTCTCATCTATGATCTTCTTGCACCTAATTTAAATTACCATTTCTCAATCCTAGTATCCCTTGCTTACACCAAATTGCATTAACTGGTCAGCTTCTATACCCTGGAAGCTTCCTCCTCTTTTGGCTTTGAAACCTGATTCCTCCCCAGGTTTTCCTCTGGCTTCTTTATCTCCAGCTGTTCTCACATGTAAGTGTTTTCCAAGGCTCTATCTTTTTTCCATTCTACCTCTCTCCATTAATAATTTCATCCCCCAATTCTAGTTCTAGCTATAAATACCTCTAACTTAAACAATAGCCTCAGGTTCACACCAAAGCTCTTGTTTTCTTTTCCAAATAATTCCTTGCTCCATGTATGCCATCCTCTTATTTAAATTTTTATACCTCTCCTCTGCTGTTACCTATAGAATCAAGACTGGACCCTTGTATTCCAGTCTGACTTGAATTTCTCCATGATTTTAACCCAGTCTGTGTTCCCAAACCCATTTTTTTGTGTGACTCAGATCTTAACTTTGTATATTATTCTCATTCTCTTCCAAGTACTTGGAGTTGTTCATGTCAGATTTGAAGCCCCAGTGCCTAGGGGCATCTCCCCTCAATAGAAAACACACACTTTGTGTTTGATGGTGACTCAGTTGGTAAAGAATCCACCTGCAATGCAGGAGACCCAGGTTTGATCCCTGGGTTGGGAAGATCCCCTGGAGAAGGAAATGGTAACTCACTCCAGTATTCTTGCCTGGAGAATCCCATGGAAAGAAGAGCCTAGCAGGCTACAGTCCATAGGGTCACAAGAGTCGGACACTACTTAGTAACTAAACCATCACCAATGAGTGAACAAATGAATGAATGGGTGAACAAGTGAATCTTGCTGTCTTTCCCCTGCACGCCCCCCACCAGCTTTGTCTCCCTTCCCGATTTTATCCTTGTATTAATCAGACTCAGAGAAACTTTCTCGCCAGCTCAGAACAGCTTTCTGGTTTCCTTCTTTTTACAGATTATATTGCTTGATGGCTGCTGCTACTCAACAGTTTGTTCTCTGCTTTACAAAAATAAAACTTTGGATTCTCAGTTGATTCTGTATCTAGGCTCTGGAACAAATCCATAGCCATGCTTTTGAGGAAAGACTTGGTCCTGTTTGGTTTCGGTTCTATCTGGAGGTAGAAGAGCCCTGCCCTAGGGGTGGAGCAACCTCTTATCATCAAGTATTTCTTAACTGGTGTCTGTAGGGTACGAATCCCTTTTGAATTAATGGAACAAGATACCTGTATTCTAGGGATCACTAAGGAACTTAGATTTGAATTTTATGCCGATTAGCTAATGGAAAATAAAGTCAACTGAACTGATGACCCTGTCCATTAAGCTGATCTTCCTCCCTGTATTCTAACTGCAGAGTCATCCAGCAAGACTTTGATTATCACATGGGTATCTATCTCCCAAGAAATTTTCTTGAGACTAGAATTTCTTGTTGAATAGCACTAAATTAGCATGCTGGTTATGGAGTTGTTTTTTAAAACTTGGTATGTTTATGTCATGATATCAAATGTTCAGATGCTAAGTCATCTTTGCAACCTCATAAATTGCAGCATGCCGGGCTTCCCTGTCCTTCTCTGTCTCCTGCAGTTTGCTCAAACTCTTGTCTATTGAGTTGATGATGCCATTCAACCATCTCATCCTCTTTTGGCCCCCTTCTTCTCCTGCCCTTGATCTTTTCCATCATCAGGATCTTTTCCAATGAGTCAGCTCCTCGCCTCAGGTGGCCAAAGTATTAGAGCTTCAGCTTCAGCATCAATCCTTCCAATGAATATTCAGGACTGATTTCCTTTAGGATTGACTGGATTGATCTCCTTGCTGTCCAAGGGACTCTCAAGAGTCTTCTCCAACACCACAGTTCAAAAGCATCAATTCTTCAGCACTCAGCCTTCTTCATGGTCCACCTCTCAGATCGTACCTGACTACTGGAAAAGCCACAGATTTGACTATATAGACTTTTATTGGCAAAATGATGTCTCTGCTTTGTAGTATGCTATCTAGGTTTGTCACAACTTTTCTTCCAAGGAGCAAGCATCTTTGAATTTCATGGCTGCAGTCACTATCCACAGTGATTTTGGAGCCCAAGGAAATAAAATCTGCCACTATTTCCATTTTATTCCCCATCTATTTGCCATAAAATGATGGGACCAGATGCCATGATCTTAGTTTTTTGAATGTTGAGTTTTCAGCCAGCTTTTTCACTCTCCACTTTCACCTTTATCAAGAGGCTCTTTAGTTCCTGTTCACTTTCGCCATAAGGGTGATGTCATCTGCATATCTGAGGTTGTTAATATTTCTCCCAGCAGTCTTGATTCCAGCTTGTGAGTCATCCAGCCCAGCATTTCACATGCTGTACTCTGCATATAAGTTAAACAAGCAGGGTGACAGTATACAGCCTTGATGTACTCCTTTCCCAATTTTGAACCAGTCCGTTGTTCCATGTCCGGTTCCAACTGTTACTTCTTGACATGCATACAGATTTCTCAGGAGACAGGTAGGGTAGTTTGGCATTCCCATCTCTTTAACAATTTTCCAT